AAAAAAGTACCCCATTTAGACAATCCCATAGATTTGGAAGTTTTTCCCAGAGCTAAGTAAAAGGTGAAAGATACACGAACTAGGCATTGTGATCTTTCCTCAGTCAATCCCTTATGTGTTCTCAGTCTTTACCAGCAAGACGAATGCCTCCAGTCCTGTCCCTGATCTTCTATAATGTAAAACAACATCCAGCCCTTGGCACTTGCTTCTTTAAAATGAGCACCGAGAGTGACTGGCTTCTTGGAAACGTTACTTCTGCTTTGATATGCTAAGTGTAAATCTGCTTGCTGTCATTCTAGATTATAAATATGATTCCAGAATTATGATACCTTTGGCAATTTTGTACCATTTTGAGCTTATTTTTCTTAAACAAATTTTTAATAGGAGTGAAAAGGAAAGTAGTCACAAAAAAAAAAGACAGGGGTACATTCATGTCTGGTGTAGCTCCCTTGCCATCAACAGCTTTGTGCCAAGGATGAATCTGATGCCATGTAGCCAAGATATAAATTAATGTGTTTACAATATGGAGTTTATTCACAATGGCTGACAAATTTTGTACATGTTTATTTCTAGCCTATAGTATCCATCCTGTTACAAGATTCCTGTAAAGACAATAGTGCTGAGATGGGTGGTTTTTAATTTTTCTCACAGTTTGTCCTTTCTGGTTATAAAAGCTATGGCAAACAAAGAGTGGCTTTTGTTTACTTTTGTCATAATTCGTTGTGGGTTTTTTTTTCTTTCAGAAAAGAAAAAAATCCTGTAGAGCTGGATGATGAGGGCGGCAGAACATTTTTGCGGGTTCTCATTCACCTTATTATGCACGACTATCCTCCTTTGCTATCGGGGGCCCTTCACCTGCTATTTAAACACTTCAGTCAAAGAGCAGAAGTTCTGCAAGCATTTAAACAGGTGGAGCTGCAATAGTTTTACATGTATTGATGCAATAGCTTTACTGTAGGAAAGAAAGAAACTCTCTCCAAAGGCATCTGCTATCACTTAAGTTGCCAACTATAGTATGAGAATGTTCCCTTCTGAGAATTCAAAGACCATATTCAACTGCTTCTCTGTGTGGAAGCAGCAAGTCCTCAGTGAGCTGGTAATAAGGTGCCTCTATTTAAGCACCCCAAAATCAAGACATCTGGGATTGTAGCCAGTATTCAAAATTGAGGTCTAAGTGACTTGTCCAGGGTCACAGAGAACAGGAAGCAAGGACAAAACCATGCTTGTGCTTGGCTACTTTTTTTCTGTCTCTTAGTTAACATTATATTTAAATGTTTCACGTGTTAAAAATAGGGTATAGATTAGGACTGTGCAAAGCTTCGGTTGCTGATTCAATTCGACAGAGATTTGGCCTGATTCGGTGGTCTAATCTCCAAATCCTCATTGAATCAAGAGACCCTTTTATCTCTCTGAATCGAATTGGAACCCTCCGAATCGATTCAGAGAGATTTGATGATTCAAATATAGACACAGCATTAAGTGTTTTTTTTTCTACATACCTCAAGATACCAGGCGGCTTGTCAACACTGAGATGGTGGGGCAGATAGAGCATCCCACAGGAGCATGGGGGGGGGGAGGCATCCCCCAACGCGCTCGGCAATAGACCCGGAAGTGGACCAGAACCACTTCTGGTCTACTTCCAGGTCCTCTGGGGAGCATGCAGGGGCAGCCTCCCGCATCCCCCAAGCTCGGCGACTGGTGCGTCCTGGGTCTGGGGGGGCACCCAGGGTCCCCCTGTAGCCGATCACTGAGCTGGGGGGGCATGATGGGGCCCCCCTGTGTGCATGGAGGTAGATCTGGAAGTGGACTGAAAGTACAAGCATGCAGGGGGCTCCCGTCGTGCTCCTGTGGGACGCTCCATCCGCCCCACCATCACAGCATTCACAAGCTGTGCCTTATACCTTGAGGTATGTAGAAAAAGCATTTAAAGCTGTGTCTGTGGCTGAATCGCCGATTCTTCAAATCAGCATCGAATCTTCAACTCGGATTCGGCCGTATTGAACAGGGGCAGTGATTCGAATCAACTAATCAAATTGCTGTCCCTGATTCAGGCTGAATCTGAATTGAATATAGCCTGTTTTGCACACCCCTGGTATACATCCTGATGTAATGGGGTGCAATTCTAGTTGTAGGGACCTGTAACTTACATTTTTAGATCATTTGATGCTTATTTGAAACATTTATGTTTTCTCATTCTTATGTAGGAAGTTGAGGTTTTTTGTGCCTGAAACCAGACAAATGATAAGTAGCTGGAAAGCCTTTGTTTAATATTGTTGCAGAGTTGCATAATGGCCTCCCACCAGGATATTAAAGTGGGGCCATGCTGATTAGGTGCATAAATAGCTGCTATTCCCAGTTAAGTGAGGGTTGAGTAGCTAATATGTTTCTGTAAAGGTAAGAAAAGTCTAATTGTCAAATAAACAAAAAAAGCTGTGGAGAAAGTAGAATACGAATACTAGGAGATGAGCAGCTCTCATAAATTGTTCAGAATAACAGGGCTCTACACTGCTAAGAGAAAATCAGATGTGAACTTTAAGATTACATTATAAAATAGTGAATATTTTTTGCAAACAATTATTTTTTTATATGTTATCCATGTTCCTGCCTGCCAGATGGCAACATTCATAAAATTCCTTTGATGTCAGTTTGATTTCTTAAGGATAATCTTTGATTTACTATAGGGAACATTGTTTAGGTTTTGGTTAATAATAATCTAGGGGAGAAAGCCAATAGCATTGTGAGGAAAAGGATTTTACAGATCTTTCTAAATCATTAGGAGTTAGAGAAGAAAGATTAAATATTATGGGTGGAAAATTAGAATACTAGATTCATCTTGGAAAAATGCAAACTGAGATCTGAGAGGAAATTATATGGAACCTGGGAAGTACTGGGGCTGAAAGAGATGTAGGCAGGTTTCTTTGTCATGAGCCAAAGAAGGAGGAAACAAAAATCAGTCAAATATTTTATTTTTTAATTTTTAGTTAAAATGTTGGTGAAAATTTTCATTGGCATATCAATCTTTGGGAATACTGACTGTATTTAGAGCTCTTTATTTCTTGTGATATCAGTTCTGTCTTCCTGCAAAATATTGTTTAGACTGGATAAACCATTTCTCATTTTAATATTCTGAGGACCATATTTGCATCATTGTTAGCTCTTCCACAGTGCTTGGGGATTTATACATATGAGTTTATACTGAAAAAGATTTTGTAGTGTGATGAGGAAGAAAGTAGAATGTTCTAAACACTGTAGCCATTTTTCCTTGGGCCAACAAAATCTTAAGTGACATTAAATATAGTGCATCTTAACAACTTTGTTGAATTTGAACTGAAAAGACAAATACGACAAATTTCAATTCAAAAGGCAAAGTTTTGAGTTGTTTCAAGTGATAATTTACTTGAAGTTTCAAGTTCAAGTGAAAATGGATGTGTAGAATGGAACCGTAAAACAAATTTGACTACAATAGTTGCTGTACATATTGCTGTATTATTATTGCATAATATACCATATCTCCAGGTCCAGTTGCTGGTGTCTAATCAGGATGTGGATAACTACAAGCAAATCAAAACTGATCTTGACCAATTGCGATTAACGGTAGAAAAATCTGAATTATGGGTTGAAAAAAGCAGCAGCTACGAGAGTGGAGAACTGGGCGAGGGTCAGGCAAAAGGTGGTGAAGAGCCAATTGAGGTTTGTCTTTAAATTCCTAGCCCGCCAATGTTTCAGTGTTATAATGCAGGTTTGTTTTTTTTCTCTTTAACTAATCATTTGTGTATGTTTCACACTGTCAGCCTGGTGGTACTAGCAAGCCAGTGATGCCTGGTATCTTGGATGGACCTTAAGACTAAGGAGAAAAAAAAAGACAAAACTTTTCTATGAGTTTTCAGATTTCTTTCCTGTTGTTTTCAATAAAGAGTTTTATCATCTCACAGATGGTCTCCTATTTGGTCTAGCAACAGAGCCATGGTGTTTGTATTTTTGACATCATTGTGTTGCTCTGGAGGTAATTCAGAGATCACATATTTACTCTTATGATGACTTTATTGGAAGACCGAATCAGAAGAGAGGAGAGACTCTATTATGTTGGCAGTGAAAGAGTGTGACCAATGCCAGACTTCCAAACCTTATGAAACTTGTCACTAAAATCACAGAAATGGCTTAAAATCAGGCCATAAATATAAAACTATAAAGGTCAGGTGTCTTTTTATTTACTGTCCATTTCTTAAATTTGAGTGCACTTAGATTATATTTTCAAACATTTCTCTGCAGCCATAAGGGCTAGAAGCTTAATTTTTTAAAGAAAGATGAGGTTTTCATGAGTTTGGTAAGCGTAGCTACTGGAGAGTAAGAAAAATGCCAAATATTGTGATCCTTGCAATAAAATTGTGAGTGTTAGAAACACTGGAAACAGAAGAAGGGTATGCAGTTTCAGTAACAGCATTATCACCCTCTGTGAAGGCCCACAGCAGGGCTTGGCTGTACATGACACTTCATGACACTGCCCTCCGTATTCCTTTTTCTCTACAGAGAATTCCCCAGCAGGTGATAGCAGGGCAATAGGGCTGTAGATTCAGCTGAAGTTGTGCTGCCAGTGGTCTGAAGAGATGCAGAAGCCACTAAGGACGCTAATCTCAAGGGGGATCTTCTTTTCCTGCTTGAGTTGGGGAGAGGCCGAGTCCTTTTTTATTCTTATAGGGGGAAAGCTGTAAACCCTGAGAGAAGAAAGTTGAAGAAACTAGCTGGAACAAATTCTTCGCTGGTATAACTCAGATGGAGTTAATGGAGTAGTACCATGGAGGAATTTAGTTTTCTTGGGTTCTAGTGTGTGGATTTTTCTATCTCCTTCTCAGCATCAGGAAGAAAATGGCTCTTTATATATTTAATGAAAGGAAAATATTACAAGGACAAGCAGGATGGAAAACTATCAGAATTTTGCTAGTGTGATAAGATCCCTCTGTTCTTAAAAATAGCTGTTTTGGCAAAGATACCAGAAGACAGAAAATGGAACTTAAACTTTAAGCAGAAACATCTCTGGATGGAGTGTTTTTGCTCTTTTCCCATGAGGAAGCAGTGGATCTTTATGAATTAACACTGATCCAGGTGATACACATTATTATCTCTGACAGCTGAGAGTGTATTGGATCAGGGCAGTAATATGTAATCTGTACAACTGCTCTGATTTGTCTGCTGGTGTGAACCTATGTGATTCCATCATGGAGATATGGTGTTACACCAGCTGAGGGTCTGATCCATTATATTAATCATACTAAGCGAGTCTTTGATATGCAGTAAATATACTCATCAATCAAAACTACTGCTGCAATAAATATGTTTCTGGAAACTACAGCATCTGGCAAAGTAGGCTGTTGCCTATGAAAGCTTATGCCTCTCTCAACCAGTCTCAGGTCGTGCCCTGCCTTAAGTAGGGGTTTTTGTGCTGCTTTCATTTATGCTAAATGTCTCATAAGTAGCTCTGCTAACTAGAGGTGTACTGATAAAGATTTTCTCGGCTGATAACGGTGGCCAATTATTAACCAGCCATATCAGCCGATACTGATCAGATCGCTGATTTACAGGAATACAGCCTAGCAGCTTGGAGAGCAACGTCCTGCCATTAAGTCTGTGGGATGGAAGGGATTTGGGTGTGGGGGAGGACAGATCGAGGCTCCGTGGTGAGGGAGGGAATGGGACAGGGGCAGGGGGAGGAGCAGGTGCTGCCCAGCCAGGGCTGTGAATGTGGCCCTGGGAGTGGGATGGAGCAATGGGCGGCTCGCCTGGGGACTGCGGAGGGTGGGAGTGGGGGGCAAAACTCCCCAGTGCTGTGTGCACCTTCAAGGGAGGCATGGGGGGCATATGTCCCCCCAGATTTGTGCGCGCGGTGAGGGCAGGCTGCCTGCTGTGGGCTTGGGGCCAGGAGCTGTGCTGGCCTCTTCCTGCTGGGGGGGCTGGGCTGGGGCTATGCTCAGGGTATGTGGGGGCGGGGGTGTG